CCATTAAAATGCTAATTAATAATTATATGAATAATTATTAATTAGCATTTTAATGGTAAAATATAACTGTATTATAAATTGTACTTTGAGCCTCATTGTGCGAGAGCGCAGAACGTCTTACTATTGACACATATTTAATGATCAATTTATGTACGTTTTGACGTCAATGTCTTCATGAATATATACTTATATACATGTATAAATATATATATATATATATATATAAATTAAATACATTTTAAATTTTATTTATATATAAATTTAAATTAAATATATAAATAAATAAAATATATTTAACTTATATATATATATATATATATATATAATTTCGTATATATACATAAATCTAAAGCCATAGATTTCTCATTTAACTTTTTTAAACTAGGAACTCGTACACACATCTATAGATAACAGCCAAGCATGCACTGCATATGTATTATGCCTATTTTAAACTAAACGATAATTCTTAATCCGTTTACGTATTAAACGAAGCTACAGGTATCTTTTACTTTGTGGATAAGTAGTTACGATTGGCGTATGCCAAACGTATGCTGGCTGGCATTTTCTGAGCTTTGCCAAATTCGGTCACTTTGCTATATTTTATTAATCTCCCGTCAGGACCGGTACGCCAATATGAAGTTTGCATGGCATTACGTCCAGCAATGTAACGCGTAGTGGCACCCACCAAATGATTTAACTTATCAGCCGGCATCTTTCTTTTTATATATATATATATATATATATTTATATATATACTTTTTTATTTAATATAATCAATATTAACAAATATTTGAAAAGAAATTTTTCTAAATTTCTTAGCGAGAGATCTATTTAGTTTCGCAAGCAACTAGTGTCTGACTTTCACTTGGTCCAGCCCTTGCCATTTATAATCGTTTCTAATCAGTGAGAACACTAACGAGCACCAAAAAAAAAAAAAAGAAAAAATAAAAAATTGTACAAATCGCTTGTGTGTACGATTGATTGCAAAAAAGAAAGAAAATTAATTAATTTTTTTTTTTTTTTTTTTTAAGATTAAGAATTGTAAATATGATTCAAATGTATCTGCTAAACTGTATCTGATTTTGAGTCATGTTTTCACTCTAGATTGATTTCTTTGTCTTCTATATAATTCTACAGTAATCCAAATTCTCCTTTTATGGCTAATCTAAACTATTATTAGGACTTTGCACTACTAAATGAAGCAAATAAAAATCAGGTGTTGCCCTTAATAATCGTTTCGATTCATTTGCATTAGAGTCGTGGTGACGTCAATCCTAGAGATCGACTAAGATTATATAGTGTCTAATAAGCCCATGTTATTTTTTTTTTTTTTGATAGCTTTTGATAGCTGATAAGCGTAAGGTAAATAAGTTCGAGACTTTAATGGAATTCAAAAAATAACAAGTAAGAAAATTATACTCGGTGGTGATCGCGTCTTCACCTTAAAGCAGACAAAATTAAGTAAAAAAACTAAATTTTCATGCAAATGCTCTATATATATGAAATGGGTGCAGGCGATATTTCCTTTCTTCTAAATAAAAGTTTTTATAATCCCAGACTTGGGCTGTTAGTGGATCCAACCTTTGTAAAGTCTTTAAAGTTCAGGTAAATCTTACTTCCACTTGCATATATAATATGCCCAGATTAAAGTGACCTGATCAATATGTTATTTGGCAGAAAACATGACATGAAATGCTAATAAAATTTTATTAAAATTCATCAGGAAAATAATATCTGGTGAATTTTCAATAAAAATCAGTTTACAAACTGATGCGCTTTCATTGAAATATTAGCTAAGATCCCTATTATCGGATGTGTCGATCTTTTCCCTAAAGTTATTCTATCTATCTGGAGAAAAGCTATGTTATACTCAAACTACAGTCAGCTTAGATCGAAATCCATTTCTTATAGCATATTCAACATATCCAACGGATCCAACAAGAGTCTTTATACATATGCGAGAAATGTAAGCCTAATGTCAATTCAATACCTCTTCATATCCCGCACAACTTTTAATACAGAGTGCATTAAGCTTGTGTGGATATATGCTATAATACCCAGAAGGCCTTAAAATATACCCAACTTTTTTTATGTCGATCGATTCAGCAGCATCTCTCAATCGATTTCAGAGCACCTATCTGTTTGTCTGTCTGTCTGATCTCAATCCATGTATGTTTTTGTGTTCAACATAGAGATGGCAATTTTGGAGATGCTTTGATGAAATTTGGTAAACTGACATATTTTTGACCAACGACAAACAGTATTAAAAATGATTCCGATCGCATTTTTTTTTGGACACTCCCCATATAACGGATTATTTTGCAAATTCGTGCGGAACTTCGAACAAAAATCGCTACGTAATAGTATTTTGATATCATATATTCATCTGAGAAATTTGGATTGGATGGGACAATTTTTTGAAGCCATCCTTACGAATACTGAATGTCTATTTCCTGAAGACGTCTAATTTTCAATATTTCATGATCAAAATTAGATCGTAGTAATAATTTGACATAAAAATAGACCAAGTCAGTTAACGTGGGCGCTTTCATAAAGAGAATGCTTTTGCATAAAAATAACGTATAATTCTTGATGTATTATTACGAAACTGAATGAATGAAGATATTAAGTGAAGTTGTGTAGGGAAACCAATGGTCAACTTTGCCCGACTAGAATGTTCTTACTTGTTTTTTTCTTTTCTGACAGGTTAATCTGCAAAAGTGTTTACATTCAATGGAACAAAATTGAAGTAATGTTAAGAATTTCATACTTTTGTAGACATAGCAGTCTAGTGTTTCCGCAGGCGAATACCAGAAAAATGCGAGGGACATCGGCTGATCCAAAGTTTACAAAATAAACATTTGAAAACAAACAATAATGCTACAGTCGGGCAAGACCGACCTTTAGATACCCCAAAACCACTTCTCCTAATTAATAACGCCCCAATAACTATACAGTATTTCTATATGATCGTCAAAGTGATCTAAATTTGGTAAAGTTAATCTATCTTAATACTAAGGACGAATTTTCACCGTAAAATGATAAAAATTAAACATTTTTGGCATATGAAGCCATATTTTCCATTGAAATACCTATATGGATTGATATCCAAATAATAGATCTGCGTAGTCCAAATTCGATAAAGTTAATTTTTAGTCAAATTATTATTATGAACGAATTTTCATCAAGAACAAGTCTTTTTTACGATATTCACTTCCGCAGGACCTGATATATGACAACGGTTCTAAAACTTGCCTATCAGACAAAACAGACCATCAGATAGACGGAAGTGAGTCTGTCTCAAGTCCTTCTAAGTGTTGCGCAGACCTACCATAACTTGAACCATAAGTGGTGTAGCATATAAAATCTAGTTGTTTAATAAGCCAAAAAAGGGTGGTGAATTACACTAATTATTCGTTACATTTTCGCTTTTATTATCTTGTCCACTTAAAAAGAGAAAAGTAAAGTTTTGTTTCTGAATTTTTGTTGTTACTTGGCTTAGCAGATTTTGAAAAGTTCCATGTTTGCATTCTATGCCTAGAGAGGGGGGACATGCCGAAACTCTTACCTCGATGGTAACGGTCTTTGACCAGTAAAGAAGAGTTTAAGGATTGACTATCCATAACGTTGTGACAGGTTTTTCTCAAAAATAGTTTAGGGTTGCACTGGACGAAGTTTTTTTGTCTTTATAAAAGAGCACTTCTTTTCTCATAGAACTGTTTGGACTTCGCCAACCGGCATTGTATGGTAGACGCAAAGGTAAGTGTGACTACGATCGCTTAAAGTAATGCTAAAGACTTTATAGTTTCACTTTAAGCTCCGCGGGAGTTAGTGGCCCACTTGTTATTTACCTCTACGTAGAGAAAGCCCTCAGGGTTGAAATTTTATGGTGGGGAGTATGTCCTAACTACTGTTTACGGCCTCTCGTGGGGTATCTTGGTGGCTGGGGTTTTTGTCATTGCTAAAGCGAGTAATTAGAAGTAATGACAGGCCTTAACAATCCCCAGAGTGGGTCTAATTGGCCATACACATGAAATAAATCTGGTACTCCAGCTGTAGTTGTGATCCCTAACATTTAGGAACTGTCTAACCCTGTGGAGGGCGGCGGTTCAGGCACAAATAACCCGAATATCAGCTTTCATCGTGAGGTTATGTTTCCATACAGGTGCTCGCGTTAAACTCAAGAGACACATCTGTAACCAACTTTTCAATGACAAATATTCGGAACACACTATAGCAACAATATATTCGGAATCACGCAATTTGCTATAGAGTGGAATTTATAGTTTTTCATCTAAACTGGGATGATGTCATAACAATTTTTTTGCATGTAAAAATCAAACACAACAATATAAAACTTTTTTTTGTAATAAACTTCAATATGACATCAATAAGAGGTTGGAAGGGATAGGCTTTTCGATTGTTTTGGTTGTGTTCTTACGCAGAGTGCACATATCTTTTCAAAGTCCACCTATCACCACAATCCGATTTGGACTGTATGTTTAAAACCTCATATCTATTTATGTAGCAAGCTTTGCATAGTGTTGGTACATTTATGTCATGCCATTTTTTTTAGCAAATTAAAATTAAAATTAATTGGAACTAGAATGTAGACAATTGGCAGCAATATGCATTTAAGGGATATATGAAAAATCAACTTTTAGTTTTAATTTTTTCAATTATGAAAGTTTTAAGAAAGGCAAGGGAAACGAATTGATAAAAAAAAAAAAGACCATATTTGAATTGAGGCCCGCAATATAAAGCCCATTATAAATATATATTTGATGAGCAAATCTGGATATCAAAAGCGCAATAACACGTCTATTGTATACTCATATTCTTTAAAATGTGAAAAAACTATCGCTTAGCAACTTCAATTCTTTAGAAGTAAAGTACAATTTTTAAATACGAAATAGAAAAATTGCTTGTTCACGGTCTCTTTTTTTGTTTTTATATTTTGTCTGCATGTTTACGATTCAATGAAATCACAACTCGATCCCGTGTAAGTAGTGTAATTTTTTGTTTTTCTTGGTGTTGCTTCTGTTGTTGTTGCTTTTTTTTTTTTTTTTTTTTTTTTTTTTGTTTATATTACTTTTGCAATTATATCAGACAAAATAGAGCAATAAGAGAATTTGACATTTGTATTGGACGACGTTTAGCGGTTTGATGGGAGTGTGCCTTAATCATACACCGTTCATTTATGATAAGAAGGGTAAATAAACACAATAAAGTAAACAAAGCCATTACACGTTGCAACTTAATGCACAAATGATATCATACATAAGCCCTATACGTGTAAAGATACTCTATTGTTTAGGAATTTGATATTCGAGCGAAATAAATTCTTTTTGATTGCAAAATTTATTCGTTTATAAATAAAATAATTAAGGCAAAGTTTATTTTTTTTATTAATTATTAATTTTCAATTCTCAATATTCAAGTAGAAGGTCATAGTTTGCCTAAAATTTATTGATTTAAAGTCACATGAATGATTGATTTACTATTCACGACCAGAAAAAGTCATGCAATTCAATACTTTGTCTCCTCCAGACTTGGTAGACATTATTTCATTTGCTTTCTTTTTGTTGTCAATATTGTCTTTTTACTCTGCGTATACCCTATTATTAGCAAAGAGCAAAGAAATAATCTATACCTCTACCTTGAGATGAAATTTTTCATACTCGACACTTTTCTTAATTATAGCCATAACGATGTGTTAATGGGGACTATTTTTTTTTAGCCCTACACTACTTATGACGCAGGCTATATTAAGCTTGTATGAATGTATGTAAGTAACACTTAAAAAGACTTGGGATAGACTCACCTCTTAGAATACCGATCGATTCGGAAGCACTTTTTGAATCGATCTT